TGTGCTTCCGGTGCGGGGCAGCGGGGCACAAGGCGGCGATGTGTGCTGCACTCACCAGATGTGTGGTGTGCGCGGCGAATGGTCGGCCGGCAGACCATATAATGGGGAGCGGGAGGTGTGACCCGCCGGTCACAAAGGGCAAACCTCCCGAAAGAATGGTCTCTGAGGCGGCGCCCGGACGGACGCCCTCAGAGGGGGGGATGTCCGAGTAGCCTCGGCTGCCCGGACCCCCCTACGAATGCTGTCGCCCGCCTCTCCCCCGTCTTCTCCTAGGAGAAGACGTGAGGAGACGCTGGCGACCGGGAGGGGGGAGAGGGACGGAAAGAACTACGCTTCCCGTCCCGTTTCCCCCTCCCAGGAACGGCGGCCCCCCCACTTGTAGTTCTGTCCTACAAAGGGGGGGTGGCGGAGGACTAGGACGGATACGCCCAGGAGTCCCCTCCGTAGCGGATGGGGGGCGGTATGGTGGGCAGTAGGCCGCGTACCCAGCCCCCACGCGCGGGCCTACCAGCGCGCGTCTGCGGGGTCCTCGAAATACCGCGGGAGACCCCTGCCGTGGAGCCCCGGCGAGGCCGGGAAGCTGCTAGGTGCGGGTACGCGGAGAAGTCCCACCAGTGGGGATCCCATCAGGCAGTAGTGAAGGTATTCGCAGGACTTTTTTAGCGGATATTATACCGTAAAGCTCCCCTAAGAGTTGCGGGGTCCCAGGTGGGCATCCACTGGGGGGGTTCGTAAGACTTGCGGGAGCCAGGTGTGAGGTCCGTTCGGCGGTGTGCCCCTTAGTGGCGCCGTCGTCTGTAAAAAGATTTTTTACCTGCGTAATAAAAAAAAAGGTCCATTAGACAAGCATTCAAACGATGTCCTGTTTTTCTTCAATATGCCCGAAGCCCTAAGTCTTCATTTAACACCCTTTTCACCGTGGTTCTGCTTAACCCTATCTGAAGGGCTAACAGCTTACGTTTGGGATTTCTTTGAATTCGGGCCTTCACAGCTTTTATCACTGCTGGAGTCCTAACAGACCGAAGGCGACCAGTTCTTGACCTGCCATCTACACTAGGGTCTTCATTGTATCGTTTGATGGTACGATAAACGAATCTTTTGGTTATATTCAAAATTTTCAGTAGGTATGTCAATAAGTTGAATTGGCGCGTAACCGCAACGATGCAACGTAATAACTGCAACACGATCTTCTTTAAGCGTCCACTCCATATTTAAAAATGAGTAAAATTTTAAAAAGTATACATTTTTATTTTCATGAACAATTCGAAATTCGAATTCAATAAACTTTTTTGTGGCCAGCATTCTAAAAGAAAAGTTTTTACTGCGTGACAATACTTATGACCTGACTGTGTATTTCTAATTGTAACTAAGACATTATTATAGTATTGTCAATATTTTTTTCCAAAGTTGTCTGTATCGATCTTGTTTATCTGTGTATTTTGTCGGGCAGTAAAGACAAATTATATTTGATTATTAAAAATTAAGTAATCAAATGTAATGAATATATTTTTTTCATCTGTATACACACAATACGACTGGTATTGTGTGTATACAAGATGAAAAAAATGAATAAACTAGAGAAATGTATTTTGAGAATTTGCTCTTTTAATGATTAAGACTTCGAACAAAACGTTTAATTTAATCATTAGTTTAATAATTGAGTAGATTAAGTATTTATTATCTAATCTTACTTATTATATGTATGTGTATGTATACCATTCAGTCGTACTGTTTATTTGTTCTATTAATTCAGTGTCATAATAATTAGTAAAGATAATATCATGACGGTACTATCCTTAAATTTATAGGTCATAAAGATTCGGACGCATACACTTATATTCGGAAATCATCAAATTTCAGTAGAACTTATTAACACAAAGTAAACTAGGTACTCATATAATGTAAAAGAATATTCTGTGTCAATGTAGGTGATAAACAAAAACCCGTTCAAAGTGGATACTCCAGCAAAACGAATAGTGCCTATTTCTGCCAAATAATGTTGTTATTCGGTATGCCCTGGTATCCTATCCACTTTACCCGATGTCCCGGGCAAAGTGGATAGTAAGGCGCTGTTATAAACTTGGCTTATAATTATAATAATTTAATCAATTTTCATGGCAAAGTTATACTATTCATAAGGTTCATTAAATAAAGTCTGATTACATTTTTTTTAATTACTTTTACTTTGCTAACTACAATCAGTGCACTAACCTACATACTACATAATTATGTATGAATAGCCTGGCTGGACCCATAAAATGCATTGCGAGATAACACGGTCCACGCGCGGATGATGGTGATAGAATTAACAAAATAAAGGTGAGTATATAATATTTTTCATAATCGACTATGGTAGTGATTTTACCCTATCAATACAAATAAAAATATTATTTGCACATATTTCATTTTATTTCATTCAAGTGGTATTATTTCTGTGAGTTTTTACTTAGTCGGGGGGAAAAAAACTGAATTGCTAAAAACCTTTAAAACATACACATATCTAAATGCTATTGAAGAATTTACTTTCGGTTCATTGTTGTTGTTGTGATTTTAGGTAGAATTATTGGAAAGTTTAATTACCAACTGTTTTTATTGTAATTAGCGGCCGCCCGCGACTTCGTCCACGTTAACTAGTTATTTTAGGATCCCTCAGGAACATAACATTTTGCCGGGATAAAAATTATTGTTTGTCTCCATCTAGATAAAGGGGTCATCTATAAAGTACGCCACAGTAATTTCGTGATTTTTTTACCCCTCTCCTGTCTTTGTCACAGTTGGTCTCATTTATGTGTGATATCATATATTTTGCATTTAGAAATTATCAAATTAAATGCAGTAAATTACTCCCCAGGAAAATGTAATACTCTGTTTCGCCCCGTTTTATAGGCAGAGTTTCACGTGTATTCCTTCCTTATAATCTGGGGTCCTTTAAGAGATGCGTGAAGAAGCATTTTTGCAGGTGAGGATGGTTGGTGTAGTAGTTTATAACTGCTGTACCAGCTATCTTTGCGTTTGGACTTTATCACCACTTAACATCAGGTGGGGTAGAGTCATTTGAATATCTCGCTATAAAAAAATCTTTATATCAGGTCTCAGGTATAAATACTGAGTTTAGAATTAATCGAAATGCGTGCGTTAAAATAATAAAATATAAAAACTACGACACCCTCCCAATCCTCTCTTTAGGGGTAGTTTAGGCAAACCAAAAAATGGAAAACTTTATAATTTATTTAGTTATTATTCGTGCCGAGTTTCAAGTCTATTTAGAAGAGAAAAAAAAGAAGAAATATTTTTTTTATACAAACTTTCATCTCCTATTGTCAGTGGCGGCGCTAGGCGTCGGCGACGTCGGCCACCGCCGACGGCCTCGCGCCTGAGGCGGCCGCGCAAAAAATTTTTACAAGTTACCTATTTATTTTCGTTTCTCCAGGCCTGGCTTAGGTAGCCGACCCCGAACAATGCGGGGAAAAAGCTAAGCAGATGATAATGACTTTCATTATTTTCGAACACGTGCGTGATGGAAGCGAGTAGTACTTTACGGGTATTCAGAATCGTCTGTCTGGCAACACTATTTTTGTAATTAAATTTATATGTTTTTATTTTTTTTTGTCATCATTTGATTATCAACAATAATAAAAAAAATGGTTGCCTGTAAAGTCGGTTTTACGGGCGAAGATTTTACGTGACAACGTCTTTTTCTCGGTAGAATATTTATTGATATGAATATAATTAAATTGCACAATAGGAACAAGGAATTGAATGAAAATAAGAATTGCACAAATTTTAACTATAGAAATATATTTTGTTTACTAAAACATTGTACATGTAAACTTAAACTTAACACGAGAGACTCATCGTAACGTTACCGAGCGTTACACTTTTTCATAAGTGACTCCCAGCCGCAACCTAATTTAAGACGTTGTCACGTCAAAACTCGTTTACGTTATTTTATAATTTGGCTGACTTAATTTAACGGTTTTTCAATGCGAAATAAAATAGGCCTCGCGAACTTGATGTCGCCGACGTCCACATGTGGTCTAGCGCCGCCACTGCCTATTGTAAACCCTTAGGGGCTGAATTTTGAAATATCCTTTCTCAGTGCACCCCTAGACCTCATAAGGAACCTACGTGACAAATTTGAAGTAGGTATCTAGACTCTAGACCAGCAGTTCAGTCAGTCAATCAGTCACTCAGGCAGTTTCTTTTTTTATATATTTTGATATACGTGAATCATTACTGGCGAATAAAAACATTTTAAGCTAATATCAATAAAACGTATTTCTAAGAATATAGGTATTCATATAAAAGATCTCAAAGGCTATTGAGTAATTTGATAAGCCAGCGAAGGTGATAAATTGATATATTATGATAAAAGATTGCCAGTGACGGCCAATAATAACAAAACTTTACTTTTTGTGTGTATAAACGATGTTCAATCATATAAAAATATAATAAAATCAATGCTTACAATATATTCTCTTCTTAAAGGGTGACGATAGCAACATCCTCTGCAGGTAATTGGAGTTTGGAAGTACGAGAGCAAATAATTATGTTTAGAGATTACTATGAAGTACGCTATGTACCTTTAAACTATTATTACTTTTATTTAAGTGGAGTTTCCTATACTATTTAAGCAGTAAATAACTAAATTATTATCTAACGAAATCTAGTCCGACCTGAGAAATATTTTCTCTACAAATTGAAGCTATTTTCAATTTATTGACTGATAAACAAATGTGTATACCTACCTAATAACTATTATGAAACTGCTTATTAATGCTACATTACAAACTTGTGTAAGTAATATAAAATGTTGGTATTTTTATAATTGGCATGTACATAACTAGTTAAGAAATAAAAAGTTCATTGCGCATAAATACTACAGAGCTTAGCTACCATTGGAGCTTTACAAAAGAGAGGAAGGATATGAAGAAATAACGGTCGACTGTGGCAATTGAATAATAGCATTCAGAGGATGTCTCACACGCAAAAATACTCACGTAGGAGGACGTACTAGATGAAACAATTCCGTAGGCGAAGTCGGGACTCTGTTGATTACCATTTTTCGTCCGTCGGTGCATCCCATTCCGATTGATGCCAAGGATCGCACTGACTGGGCACCATATTGATTAGTACCGCTGTCTGAACCGTCGCTATATACATTCACTTGCTCATAGGGTCGAAGACACCGTGCTGATGCTGCACCAGAAGCTGCAGTGACATCGCGAATTCTGTGCGTGTCAGTGAAGCTCTTCACTTTGCGCATTTGGCCAGAGGGCGTCACCGTCGGCGTTGGAGCATTCACATCTAGAAGCTTTGAGTGTTCCTCAGCTGAGTTCTCATAGTAATCCACGTGGATCGCCACGCTGGGCGCGACGGTTTCCGCCGAAACCTCGGCTTTACTCATTTTGTCACGTCACTGAGTCATGCCACGGTGAAATTAGTCGCGTGCGCCGATGGCGACCCGCGACTTATAATAGTTATTAAAAGTGCGCGAGCGAGCGCTGCCGGTTTGGTTAGCCGACCGACTGGTTCGTCAATCGCAGCAATTGGTAAACAAAGTGCGATTTTGAGTAGTGGTGGGGCGTCGCAGGAAAGGGGGGCGGGTAGAGGGCCGCGCATGCGACGGCGGCCGACGCGGCGACGGCGCCGTGGCCGCGTTACGTAGCGCTGCGCCTGCGCTTGTTTCAGGGTTAAACTAGTCATTATAATAATCTACAGACGACTCTACCGATTTATATTTCTAGAAGTATTTTAACATTTGATTTAAATGAGTACAAAGACTGATTCGACACCAACTTTCTATGAGGAAACTCCGCACCTAATATCGTTTTGCTTTTAAATAATGTGAATCGGTAAGTGGAATTTTTAGCATGCATGTTTACAGATTTGGAAAATAATCGTAAGTACATACTTTTTATGAAAAAGGTGTCAAGTGCACAAGTGTACCAAGATACGATTCTTAAGAAGGTGGTTAAACCTTTTAACAACACTATGTTCCAAAATCAAAAGTGATCCCAGCAAGACTCAGCACCGGGTGGTTGGAACCGAACGCTTCGGAATTCATCAGAGCTGAAGGTCCTGTCATCTAGTCCCGATCTTAATTCGCTGGATTATGATTTATGGACAGTTTAAGAGAGTATGTCATGTTCTAAACGCTTTGACAATTTGGAGTCCCTAATTTACAAGATTGGCTGTAAAGAATTTTCTCATTGATAATTGGGAAGATAATTTTGAATGAGCTCCATATATTTTTAATGTAATTATATTAATGTATGAAGTAACATATAACAATAAAAAAATATTGGTGTGTGTTGGACCGGGTGCGGAGGCGATTTACCGGGAGCCGGAGTGATACACCGCAAGCGGTGATTGATTGACCGGGAGCGGTGTATGTTGGACCGGGTGCGGGGGCGATTGACCGGGAGCGGGAGTGATACACCGCAAGCGGTGAGTGATGGACCGGGAGCATAGGCGAGTGAGTAGGATACTATCTTTTGATGGAATAGGGAGAGTGGGCCCTGTGGATTGGTGTGTGGTATATAAATATTTTTATTTTTGTTACAACCGAGTATTTCACGTTACTCACGACTTTTTTTATTCCAGATCCTAATTTATGAGACGATTTTTAATTACATTTCGGATATAATAAATACCTATTTGTAACAGAAGCATTATTCAAATTTACAAACTAATTAAACCAATAATGCATTAATACCCGAGTAGGAGGAAATGGTCACTGCGAACACTCTTAGGCCGTATACAGAAAGAAAGCCGAAAGCCGATCGGCGCTTATCGGCGCCTGTCGGCGCCGATCCTTCCTACATAAAGGAAACCGATTAAAGCAGATCAAGCAAAATGTCACACTCATCGGACGATGATTTGGTTTTGTTTGAAAATATTTATTTAATTTTTTCGAAAAACAGCTATACATCCTATAAATAGAGAAAGGAAACGTTTCGGAGAATACCATCATTTATTTGTAAAAAAATTTAAATTTGATGAACAAAGATTTTATACATATACAAGAATGATTCAAGAAACATTTTATTACATTTTAGATTTAGTGAAAAACCGTTTGATGAAAAATTGGGGCAATTGGCATAAACAACCAATCCTTCCAGAAGAAAGACTTGTTGTCACCATTCGGTAAGTACGAAACAAATAATTTTAGCGCTTAGTTAATAAAAGATAAAGTTATTAGATTTATAAAAAGATTATAACTTAGATTGATTTAATCTAAGGATAATAATTAATAATAAATAATTTGTATTTGAATTATTATCCTTAGATTAAATCAATCTAAGTTATAATCTTTTTATAAATCTAATAACTTTATCTTTTATTAACTAAGCGCTGAAATTATTTGTTTCGTACTTACCGAATGGTGACAACAAGTCTTTCTACTGGAAGGATTGGTTGTTTATGCCAATTGCCCCAATTTTTCATCAAACGGTTTTTCACTAAATCCAAAATGTAATAAAATGTTTCTTGAATCATTCTTGTATATGTATAAAATCTTTGATCATCAAATTTTTTTTTTTTACAAATAAATGATGGTTTTCTCCGAAACGTTTCCTTTCTCTATTTATAGGATGTATAGCTGTTTTTCGCATTTTTAAATAAATATTTTCTAACAAAACCAAATCATCGTCCGATGAGTCCGACATTTTGCTTGATCTGCTTTAATCGGCTTCCTTTATGTAGGAAGGATCGGCGCCGATAAGCGCCGATCGGCTTTCGGCTTTCTTTCTGTATACGGCCTTAACCTCTTATAGATCGCGCCAATCTTCTAGTCCGCTCTGAACACTGCACAATTCGCGTCGTACGAGCTCGTATTTAAAGGGACGAAGGTTGTGTTTAGGGCTGTACACCTGCGCGAAACAACTTCAGAGCGGACTAGAAGTTTGGCGCGATCTATACCTACATTTGGAAACTTTTTTTTTTATTCATTCTTTACACTTTACATTAGAAAGCGCCACCGTTACTTAGAGCTATACTAGGTACTGGAATAAGCGAAACTAAGGTACAAGGTGTGGATTTTTCGACTAGGATTCAGTTTTTGCCAAGACTAAGCCAATCCTACTAATATTATAAATGTGAAAGATTGTGTTTCTAACTCAGTCGCGCAAAAACGGCTGAACGTATTTCGGTGAAATATATAAAGTAAGTATAAACACACACATACACATATTGTAATTTCTGATCTGGATTGAGAGAAAGGGTACTTTTTTGCCCAAAGCGCCCATATTGTCCGGATAAAAGAGTGTGGTCCTTTGCTCCAACAAGAACACCGATGTCCTTAATTCGTAAATTTATTAAAGGACTAGTGGCCCGCCCTCGCTTCGCTTCGGTGTAGAGCTGAAGTTTAGACTATACTTATTGTTCTCAGGCCTGTATACACAATGAAATTCTTCTTATACCTACCGCCGCCGCGACCCGTGTCGAGCGCGGCAACCGTTAAGCCTACCATTCACGGGCGCGCCAATCCGCCGGATTTGTCGCTGGCGACAAGTCCGCGGACAAATCCGCGTGTGAATGTATAGCCTACCATTCACGGGCGCGCCAATCCGCCGGATTTGTCGCTGGCGACAAGTCCGCGGACAAATCCGCGTGTGAATGTATTGGTGAGTGCGGCTCGCGGCTCGGCGCGGCGCTCGCCGTCGAGAGACGCGAGCGCCGCGCCGCACCCCAGCCGCGCCGTACAAATCCGTACGTGTGTGTGCTTGCACAGATTTGTCGGCGAACTTGTCAGTCATTTGTAGTGCGTGCACGCAGAACGACCTCTTAACTTGGTAATTCTGTATCACGTCTGTATCACTTTTTTGACGTTTATGCGATACTGTTTTGAGTCAAAAAGTTGAACATAATACTCATTTAAGTTGGTATCAAGTTAATATCATTTTAAAGAGTTGATCATAATACGCTTAATTTGATGTCATTTTGACATCGCATTTTTCGGAGAGCATAATACGTAATGTGAAATTGACATCAAAACAATATCACAATTAGCGAACATAAAGAGCTAATTGTATCTCTTCTACAAGGGGTTTATCTCTTCTGCGCATGTCCTCGGCATGAGCTCGTTCTAAATAGTCCATTACTAACCCGAAACGAGCCATTTTACTCTTTTTTATTAAAAAAAAAAGGAATTTGATACAGAAAAACCACCTCCTAACTTGTTAAGTCTGTATCACATTTTTGACGTTTATGCGATACTGTTTTATGTCAAAAAGTTGAACGTAATACGCATTTAAGTTGATATCATTTTAAAGTTGATGTCATTTTGATATCGCATTTTTCGGAGAGCATAATGAGTTATGTGAAATTGACATCAAAACAATATCACAATTAGCGAGCATAATTGGCCTGCAGTTGTGTTGTTTGTATTACGAACGAGTAAACGAGTATAATAACATGTCGTTCGGCGATCATAAAGAGTTTTGGCAAGAATTTATCCTGCTGTTTAAAGAGAAAAAGAAACAGGTGGTTTACAGGTCTGAATGCATTGCAGCAATTTTAAATGAGTATATTTTGTTCGTTGTTTCAGCCACTCCTTTGTGCAAACGCGCTTTTTCTTTTTATTCTCCGTTAAAAGTATTGCACCGACTGCTAAAGCAACTTTTGTGCGTTTGGAAAGCACCGGTGGCATGGTAGGGTAGCGAAGAATGATACGCGCGAGGCTCACCAAAGTACAAAAGCGACTGGACTGCAACTCGACGCCAGTGTGACCTTAAATTATAGATCCTGCCCCGCTTAGGCAAAAAAACTGACAAATCCTGCCAAACTTTTATGCACAAAATGCCGAAATAATGCCAATACAATTTTAAAATTTAAAATAAATAGTCACACATTTTTTTATATTTTTATTTTAAATAGTTATACATTCGTATTAGCCTCGTATTCTTTTTGATCAATTTCTTTATATTTTTAATCATATAATTTGTTGCCTGGAATGAAACGCAGTCACCATATTCTTAAATGCCTTGTTTTACATGCAAAATAGAGGCGACATGTTTATTGATAAGTCTGTTCCGGGTTTTTGTTTTTATATGGTTGATTTGCGAGAATATTCTTTCACAAGCAGCATTCGACATTGGCAAACACAACAAACATTTTACAAAATTGGAAATATTTACGTATTTTAAGTTACCATTTGAATTTCATATTTACGTTTCATGGTAATATGGTAACCATTCACACACACCACACGAAATCAGAAACAAAACAAATCTGTGTCTCCGACAGTTTTTCTAGTCCGACTTATTACATAAACAACTGACAAATAAAGATATAGGTAATATAAACATTACGGTCCGCGCTTTAAGGTTCACAATGGAATGAACTACAAATTCAACTCGAGATGTTATGGGAAATCCCCGAAACAAAGGTATCGTTGCCCATGTTGCCATTGGCATTTTGAAATTCCTACCTACTGTTTTTTCGTTTGTCGATCCGCACTCTACTCATATTAAAGGATGTATTGCCAAATATATAAAAAAATATGGGTGCGTGTACTTA